ATGAATCAGAAAGAGAGGGACAGACACAGAAAGATTGCATTCATCTGGGGAATATAAAGTAACAAAATAGGAGACTAACATCCGAGAATAATTGAGATAAGTTCCAGGAGGTTCACTACATGTCTTGGAGGCCAGTTGCACATGCTAGGGGTAAGGGAAGCTCAGATAGAGAAGGGAACACCAAGTAAGGGGTGTTGTGAGGATCCTCCCACGATGGTAGATGCATGCTGAAAGCAGACTAGACCGAACATGTTTGCCACTCAATGCTGCAAATCTCAGCAACCAAAAGGAGAGGGAGAACAAAAGGGAATGCCTTGCCACAGATGCAGGATGGGATGGGGGTATGGGCTGGGTTACTGGGATCATTGGTGGTAGAGAATGGGCACTGATGGAGGGATGGGTACTCGATCATTGTATAACTGAAACACAAGTACAAAAACTTGTAAGGTCAACAACCATACCTCATGGTGTTTCACTAATAAAAAAATAAAAAAAACAATTAAAAAAGTTCATGTATTTGGAAGAAAATATTCCATTTTATGAACCAACTCTTGGGGGAAAAATGGTATGGTGATGATTCCTGGTTAGTTGATTCTTTAAGAGATGAGATATTTGGTGGAATTCTTCATTTGTCATAGAAAGATCCCTATGGAATGGCCACTCATGTTAAGTTAAGCTCTAGAAAATTTTTCAGATTGTCAAAGTTCTTTGAATCTTTCAAACTGATTATGTTTAATTCTTAATTTGCTCACTAACAACTTAGCTGAATTTGAAATCAGCGGCAAATGTTAACCTTTATTAGTCAGCCTTTATTCTGCCCTTTATCGGGCTCTATAGTAGGGAGATTCAAATATTATCTTGATATTGAAATTATAGGATAATATCAATTATATGTGATAGGTATTAACATTATTTCATTTATACTGGCAAAGATGACATAATAAGCATCTCTTTTGGTTCAGAGTATACTATTAGTAAGAGTAGGATTTGTTTTCATATGATTGAACTTGGATCCAATAGTATGCATTGTGATAGCTTAATCTCATCAGTATTGTTTTGCTCCAGTTCTCTTTTTTATTTTTTATTAGACTGCATTAACAATAACTCTTTCAACAGCCTTCAAGATCTTTTTATATGAGGTAAAACATAAGCATCTCAAAATAATTAAAATATGTTGCCCTGAGGAAAATGAAATGAACTAGAAAAACCCAGGAAATTAAGACTCCCTTTAAGTGAAACTTCTCTTTGTTTTATTTCCTGTTGTCAAAAATACATTTTAAAGTGGATTAATGATAACCATTTGGCATGCTCTAGGGATATTCCTGAGATCTTGAGAATAACCAGATTCTGGAATTTTACTATAAAAAATTACAAAGCTCAGTATTGATTCAGATGGCAACCATTTAGTTAATCACATTTCATAGCTATGTGTTCTATGCTTTTGTTTACTAGCCTTTTAGGATCTGTATAGTGTGCCATAACTGAATGACAATTTGTCCTTGATTTTTAAGGTAGTTTTGAAATAGTTGAAACTTTCATGTTAAAAACTAGGAAATTTCAGTTATTGATTCTTTTTTCTACCTTGATGGTTGGCCTCTTAGAGATTGTCTCAGGTTATGCTGAACTAGAATTTATTAAGCCTTCCTCTCTCTGGGACCTTTCTTCCAATTTGTCATCAAAATAGTTCTTTCTCCCAGCAAAACATACCCCCAAACAGAACCTTCTTCATGCTGTCACTGGGTTTAGTACTCATGCTTAAGGCACCCTCACCTCTAGTCTGAACTCTTTGCAACTGGCCTTACTCATACCTACCCTTACTCTTCTATGCACTATTTATAATAGCAACCATGTCACCCAATTACACTGCAACCAAGTTTATGCAAATATAAATCTGTCAAAATCTGGTGGTGGTTCTATATTTGACTATGAGTGAAAGTTGGTGGTCTTACAATGATTAACAGAAATTGATACAAATTTATCCCCAACGGACTCCTCCTTCAACACCTTCTTCCTTACTTTGCTCCATACTAGATTTCTTGTTGCTCCTATTTTTGTTTGTTTGTTTGTTTGTTTTGAGGCCATACCCGACAATGCTCAGAGGTTACTCCTGGCTCTGCAATAAAAAATCATTCCTAGCAATATTCCGGGGACCATATGGGATACTGGGGATTGAACCCTGGTTATCTGTGAGCAAGACATACACCTTACCCTCTGTACTATTTATGCAGCCCCTCCTATTGTCCCTTGAACACATCAAACATATTCTTAGGACCTTGGTGCTAGCAGATTCTGAAAAACTATCTTTCAGTATCCATCCCTCTTGTTTTTGCTTAGAAATCATCTACTCAATAAAGCTTTCTTCTACCATAGCACTGTAGCACTGTCTTCCCATTGTTCATCGATTTGCTCAAGTGGGCACCAGTAATGTCTCCATTGTGAGACTTGTTGTTACTGTTTTTGGCATATCGAATAAGCCATGGGGAGCTTGCCAGACTCTGCAGCGTGGGCGGAATTCTCTCAGTAGATTGCTGGGCTCTCTGAGACGGACTCAGCAATCCGAACCCGGATTAGCTGCGTGCAAGGCAAACGCCCTACCTGCTGTGCTATTGCTCCAGCCCATATTATAGCACTGTAGCACTGTCCTCCCGTTGTTCATCGAATTGCTCAAGCGGGCTCAGTAACATCTCCACCGTGAGACTTGTTTTCACTGTGTTTGGAGTATTGAATACCAACCCTCCCTATGCCTTTGGTCCTAGAGATTCCCCTCATCCTCTTCTGTTTTTAATTTTTTTTCCTCAACCACTTTAGGGCTGGAGCGATAGCACAGTGGGTAGGGCGTTTGCCTTGCACGCAGCCAACATGGCCGACCCGAGTTCTATTCCTCCGCCCCTCTCGGAGAGCCCGGCAAGCTACCGAGAGTATCTCGCCCACACGGCAGAGCCTGGCAAGCTCCCCGTGACATATTTGATATGCCAGACACAGTAACAACAAAGTCTCCAACGGAGACATTACTGGGCCCGCTCGAGCAAATCGATGATCAACGGGAGGGCCTTTACTTACTTTACTTTACAACCACTTTATTGTTTTTAACGCTTATGATACTTTATACATATTTAAAAAAATGAGTTTGCTACCTGCCCTACCGGGCTGGAGCGATAGCACAGCGGGTAGGGCGTTCGCCTTACAAGCGGCCAACATGGCCAACCCGAGTTCGATTCCTCCGCCCCTCTCGGAGAGCCCGGCAAGCTACCGAGAGTATCTCGCCCGCACGGCAGGGCCTGGCAAGCTCCCCGTGACGTATTCGATATGCCAAACACAGTAACAACAAAGTCTCCAATGGAGATGTTACTGGGCCCGCTCGAGCAAATCGACGATCAACGGGAGGGCCTTTACCTGCCCTACCAAATTGTAAAGTACTTGAGAATAGGGATCTTTGTTTGGCTCACATCATGAACAAGAGTGGTTGGACCCAATTAACTGTCACTTGTGTGAATAAATAAAAATCATATATGTGCAGTCAACAGTTTAGTGCATGTATCAGGAATTTGATTAGATATTAAATTATGGCGTTTTGTTTGTTTGTGGTCCACACCCAGTGGTGCTCAGGGCTTACTTCTATTGGTGGACTGAAGGACCATATGGGGTGCCAGGGATTGAACCCAGTTGAGCCTCATGCAAGGCAAGCACCTTACTCATTGTACTATTACTTCAGCCACTAAATGAGTTTATTTTCATGCTATCTGTAAATATTTCTCAAAAAAGGAATGCAGATTCAGTTTTAAAGTTGAATATGCCCTAAAATTAATCAACTGAGGTCTGGTTAAATAAACTATGCTGTAGAAATACAATGTAAGATAATTATTAATTCCAAGAATGAATTTAGGACATTTGTAAGTATTTAGAAAAATAAGGTTAAAATAATTTTAAGTAAAAAAAAGAAAAAATGTCTATATAGGGAACATTTCATTTTTCTTCAATTTTGAGAGGCAATTCTGTTTCATTCTCAGCCTGTTTGGTTCATATGAGAGTGATTTTGTTCCAGAGGTGAATATGTGACCCAGGAGTGGCATATAAAAGAACCCTGGCTTTCTGGCTCAGATTATGCCTTAAGGATATACTTGGACACCTTGAGCAGTGAATCATCTAGTTTTGTTGTAGTTTTGGGGAAAATAATGCATTTTCTGGTCTATTCAGAGGATGGAAACTTAGACATTTTAACAAATGTTGAAAATGAAGTCACACAGAGGATAACAAAATCAAGAAGAAAAGAAAAATATTTTTTTCATGACATTGTTTAATTCCTCTATAGTCTTTTGCTTCTAGCTGGAAAGAATTGGACTGGCATAATCATTCATAACTTTATTGAAAGTATATCTTTAAAAATGAAGTGTTTAAATTTTCTCATATATTTACATGCCTTTCCCTGTCTTTTTTTTGAATTTTGAGTCACAATTATTTACAATATTGTTAATGATAGGGTTTCATGCATATAATATTCCACTACCAAAATTTCCACTAAAAGTGTTTGCTTAAAAATAATCAAGTGTCTATCATGCTTCAGTTATAATTACTAGTTATTAATAAAATATATAAAATTTTCTGAAGAAATTCATTGTGAAAATGTTCCATTGTTTTCCTTTAAAATTTTATTAAAGTTATTATGGTGCTGGAGCGATAGGGTGTTTGCCTTGAGGGCAGGGAGGTTTGATTCCTCCGCCCTTCTCGGAGAGCCCGGCAAGCTACCAAGAGTATCTCACCTGCGCGGCAAAGCCTGGCAAGCTACTCATCACATATTCGATATGCCAAACACAGTAACAACAAGTTTCAAAATGGAGACGTTACTGGGCCCGCTTGAGCAAATCAATGAACAACGGGAGGACAGTGTTTGTTTGTGTTTGATTAAAAGTAAAGTTTTGGAAATAGTGGAAATTCATGTACATTTTAAATTCATACATCTTTTGCTTTTTGATTGCTTTGAGAAATTTATAAATGGTACTTACTCTATAATTTTGTGTTTGGATTGTACAGAAAAATCGCAGTAATCCACTCCAATGTCTGTAAAGTCCACAAAGGTGGAGGACAAAATCTGAAATGCCCGAGGATTTCTTTCCTTGAGCTTTCGGCATATATTAAATCCATCTACAATTTCTGAATCACCCCCAGTGACTGTTTGTTTTATGCAATGAAGAAGTTGAACCTATAGAAGTAAATAGAGATGAATACATTTAATGAAATGTACTTATAATTTTTTTCATATGCACTAAAAGAAAGATTTAGAAAAAATGCTCTAAATAAATTATTTTATCCATTTTGTATCAGAAGAGAAAGGGGTTGTGGGAAAAGTTGCTTGTAGATAATATTCTATAGTTAACAATTAAAGATGGGCACAGACATGATAACTTCTCCTTATTAAGCAAGAGGCACATTATCAAAATATCTTCAAGCAGTGTGGAATTCATATTATAGTATTAAATCATTTCATACTGACCTTACAGAGAAGCTTGATTTAAATGTGGTGGAGAAGAATGATAAGATTTCAGATATATAGAATAGAATGCAGAAAGCAAAAAATACAGCAATAATGATGGATATACAAAAATGCATACTTTACTGGATATCAAAAAAATTTGACTACATTCACAGGTTGGACTGGAGTGATAGCACAGCTGTAGGGCATTTGTCTTGTGCGCTGGAGGCCTGGACGAGCTGGGTTCAATTCCTCCGTCCTTCTCGGGGAGCCTGGCAAGCTGCTGAGAGTATCTCGCTCGCAGGGCAAAGCCTGGCAAGCTCCCAGTGACGTATCCGATATGCCAAACACAGTAACAACTAGTCTCACAATGAAGACGTTTCTGGGCCTGCTCGAGCAAATCGATGAACAATGGGAGCACAGTGCTACAGTGCTACAGTGCTACATTCGCAGGTCACAAGTGGTAAAATAGCAGACTCAGTAGAAAATTAACTTGTTAAGAAGAATTTTTAATGTCACATGGTTTTCAACTTTCTCTTGGGCAGTGTAAAACCATTAAAGGCTTTACAGGGGCCAGAGCAATAACAGTAAAGTGGGTTGGACGCTTGCCTTACATGTGGTCACCCCAATTTGGTCCCTGGTTCTTCATATCTCTCCTGATCCTAGCCAGGAATGATCCCTGAGCACACTCCACATTCAGTTCCTATCTTGATCAGAGCCAGGAGAAAAGCCTGAGCACAGCCTGATGTGGCCAAAAACCCAAACCAAAAGATTAAAATAATTAAAGTTTTTTGAATATGTAAGTAATGTTGTCAAGACTGTGTTAAAGAATATTAGTCCAGTGGTGTTACAAATTGTTGAAAAGCTGGGATTTAGTGAGACAGAAACCACCTGGGAGTGAATGTGTTCAGGGTAAAACCCAGGAAACATTGGAATGAGAAATCAAAATTATAGTATTATAATTTTTTTTACTAAAATTAAGGGAAAATGTAAAAGTTCATTTTGTTCGGAAAAGTCTACCAGTAAAAATAAATATTTTGAATGGAGTTGTTTCTATAATTAGACTGAGTTTTTACTTAAACTAACACTATTCAACTGTGAAAATTCCCATCTTATTGAGGAAAATGAAAATAAAATAAATGTTTGATGGATCTTGTGGACAAGAAAAGGATAATATAATCCAGTATACAGAGTAGGAGCCTGTTTGAAAAAGGAAAACAAATACCCATTTAGAAGGTCTATAATTATTCTGGCCATTGGAACCTTCTGTGATGATGAAAATGTTCTTCTATGTTGTCCTACATAGTGGTCACTAGTCCCATATAAATACTGTGTTAAGGAAATGTGATTATTGAGACTCAGTAATTGAAATTTAATTTTTATTTAAATAAAAAAGCAATTATATGGTGAATGAAATAAACTTTTAATAGTTAAAGTAATATAGCTATATACCTGTATGTTTAATGATGCACACCTAAAATTATGAAATGCTATAATGCAATGTTACTTCAATAAAAATCTTATATACATACAGAGTGAAGATTTAAAAATTAATTTGATTCCTAAAGTCACAAAATTATAACATTTGGAGAAAATGATATAATCATGATTTTGCTATGTTGTCATAATGTAAGCTATGGATAATTATGTTAATATATTTTTAATAATGCAGCTGTTTGTTTTGTTTTTCAGTGTTAGGATCGAACCCAGGGGACTCAAAGGTACAAAACAAAGGCTCTACTGCTAAGGTACATTCCTGATCCTATACGATTGTTAATTTTTAAATGAAAAGGTACAACGAATGACATGTTCAGGAAATGACTGTCTTTAAAATAATTTAGGAAAAATTAGTTAATAAATTTTAGTTAAAATTTATATGGTAAGACATGACTAGTGACTCTACTGCTACCCCCCCACAAATTGTACAAATTTTCTCAATATTTTAAGTCTTACATATATATAGTTATCACATTACATTTACTTCTTAATTCCATATAAATCCTTAGAATTTGATATTTTCATTTTCATTTTATAGATAAGGAAAGTGAGATTGAGAAATAAAATTATTGTACAGCTGGTGATAACTCAGCAACAAATGGTAAAAGTGATATTCAAACTTTCATCTGTTTGACTCAAAATTCTTGTATGCAAATTTCTTTTACTTTATGATAAAGGCAACAATATCCTTATGCTGCCCTCACAAATTCAAAAATTGCATTCTTTGTAGGGTTAGCATCCATTTCAGACTAATGAGCTATGATTTTATGAAGCAAGGAGACAACTAGACTAGTATAGTTTATGACTTAAATTGATGCCTTTTTTAAAAAGCTAATAAGTATGTTTATGAGCAAACTATTTCGTTTTGAAAATCATCTCATCATCAGTGCAATGAGGGGTGAAGCTGCATGATTAAAAAGATGATTAAAAGAAAATGTCAACCTTAAATCTATCAAACTCCAAGAAGATAATCAAAAGTATAACTTTGTCTTGAGAAAATTAGCCTGTTATTTTAAAGTCCTTTTACATCTGCCATGATGAAGTCATAGAATTTTTCAAATATAACTCCTTAAAAAATCATTTGATATCTTTTACATATGGCTAGACCAAGTAACTGTTTTTGTAAACTTAAATTTCATGCATCATTGTAAAAGAAAAGATGATGGGACCTGATTACACATACCACCAACTGAAAAGATAAATAAATGTCTGCTCTGTCCCAACTTTATTTTATATCAGTCATTTAGAAGAAAAATGTTTTGGTTCTAGATGTTACTTTATGTCAATACTTATGACTTTTGTCTCAGAGAACAGCAGGCAAAGCAACATCTGTCTCATTCAATATGTGACTGCTTATCTTTGTCAACTTGGTTAAAGTAAATTTTCACAGGTTCCTCTTCATTCATATTATTTCTTGTATATTTGTCTACCTGACTTACACAATTATATATATGCATATATATATATATTGTTGTGAAAGACAAGTAAGGAGAGGCTGCTAAAATCTCAAGTCTGGTTTGAATGGAGATGTTACTGGCACTCAACGGGTAAGTTGATGAACAATGGGGATGACAGTGATACAGCGATATACATAAGCTTTGACATATAAACATTTGAGTAATAAAAAATGGAAACTTGAATGATAGCACAAATAGCTGCCAATTTTTATGATTAATCTCCTACAAGAACAAACACATTTCAAAAATTATTTAAAATTTTTCTAGTGGTGAATTAAGCTTTGGATATTTCATTTTCTGATGGAGACAGGTGCAACTTGTGCTTTTCTTTGCTTTTCGTACATGTAAGGTGCTGGTTTAAGCTTGAGGTGTAGAGAAATATAAGATACAGTTACTGTGCTTAAGAAATTTATGATGAGTTACAATGTTTATAATTACAATATGTAAATTATTTTAATGGTGAAGCCCAACTCAGAATAGTATGAAGAAAACTAGATAGAGGGTAGATTTAATTTCAAGTTCTCTGTTATTCCACGTCACCTTGAAAAGTATTTAACCTTGCTTGAATTATTTCCTCATGTAACATAAAAGACATGATTTTTATGTCTATCTTAAAGGAATATGAAGAAGGATCAAAAAGTCATACAATAATTTTTAAAAGTATAAAATGGTATAAAAATAACTTTATACCCTGCCTCGGGAATATTTATGAAGTCATCTAATCACTTTTTCTTAGTCTTTCCACTTTAACACAAAAGGAAAATCTAAGCTCATAATAAATAGCAGACAACTAAAATATTCAAATCAGAACCTTTAGTTTTATAGTCGATTCTTTCAAATATGATTTTATAATTAAGATTTTTTAACCTATATTTAGATTTTATCCTATTCAGCTTCTTCAACCTATCTTTAGTGGAAGAACTGAGTTGATTATTTTGGTTATAGACCCCAGAATCTTATAGAATCTGTGAATTACATTTAGGAGAAATTATATTTATTTGTTCTGTCTCCGCACCCTCCATTCCCAGCCAAAAAAGTGAGAAAAGTCACTTCACCATCATTTAGTTCAAAGAAATCATGTGGTGTTTTCCAATCACCAAAGTAACTTAAAACACATGAGGACAATAATAGATTAGCTAAATTATACTTCTGAGAACAATTATTAATAATAAGGGCATAGAGAATATTTGTTTCATCAACATGATAGAAAAAGACTAGAGAAAGAGGTAAGAACCTTGCCTGGTTTAATCCCTGAATTTATGGGTGTAGTCCAAATCCCTCTCCCCACGTCCCCACCACCACAAGCAACGCCACCACCAACAAATACAATTAAAAAAAAAAACTAATTTAAAAATTTTTTTCCTTTTTTTTTCCTTCAATGAGAACTGCTTAAAATTTCCTCTTTAAGATAAATAGTTCAGTGTGGTTATTTAACTTAGTGCTACTTAGGTCTTAAAATAGAAACAAAATATCTTTCAAAGGTTGTTTATTGCTATATCTTTCTTTTGGGGGGGGTGGTAGAGGGGGCAAGTGGTAATGGGTCATACTGGGAAATGCTCAGGGACAACTTCCTGACTTCTGGTTTTGTGTTTAGAAGCGACCCCTAAGGAGCTTGGGTGACTGAATATGTACCTGGGGATTTGAATCTGTGTTGGTTTCCTGTAAGACAAGTCCTTTATGTAGTTATCTTTCTGGCCCACAATTTTCTATGGGTGATCTACCTGGTAGTGCTAAGGATTACTTCTGGTTTTGTGCTCAAGGACCGCTCCTGGCAGTGCTTGAGAGGGACCATATATGGTACTGGCTATTGAAGCAGTGTTGACTATATTGCAAGGAAGAAACTTAACTCCTCTTCAGCCCCATTATTTCTTAATTTAGCAACATGATCCTTTTGTAAAAAAAAAAAAGCAGCCGATTTAGTAAAATGACATTTTTGTAAAGGTGAAATAGAAGAGTGTGTTTGCTGGAGTGTATAAACACTGAGGGTGGTGGGAGAGAGGCCCGGAGGCGGTTCTCCCTCTGGCCGCCCGAGTGGGATGGGCCCGGGCTGCTCCCCCAGCTGGGGCGGCCTGGGCCATGGGGAGACTGAAGAAGGAAACAAGGGCCAAGCGGGTTAATTATCAGATGCCATTTATTCCATTCTCCCAATGCACCCGCCCCAGTCTCTCTGAGCCTCCCATTTTAGTCTCATACTTCCCCTCATTCCCCCCTCTTCCTGTCTCTCCCAGTCATCTCTCCATTCTCCATCTCGCAGCCTGGGCTCTATCTCTCCACGTGCCTGCTCCTGTTTTCTTCTTCTACATTCTTCTCTTTCTGTTCCCCTTGCTAGTCTCTCTGTACTCCATCATGCTGCCCTGCACTCTCTCTCTCTCTCTCTGTCTGTCTCTCTCTCTCATCTCTCTCCCTCTTTTTGTCTCTCCAACTCCCAGCACCCAGTCTGGTAGCAAAATCAACATAATAAAGCCCTTCCTGAGGGCCCACCAGGTTCAAACGAAATACCACCTGGGGTATTCCAAAGCCCTTCCTGACTGCCCAAGGGCAAAATACCTTTATTTTTAAAATTTTTTTCTTTTTTTCTTTTTTTATTAGTGAAACACCATGAGGTACAGTTATAGGCTTACAAATTTTGTGCTTGGGTTTCAGTTATACAATGATCAAGTGCCCATCCCTCCACCAGTGCTCGTCATCCATCACCACGGGTCCCAGCATCCCCCCCACCCCCCATCCCCCCTGTCCCATCCTGCCTCTGTGGCAGGGTATTCCCCCTTGTTCTCTCTCTCTTCTTTTGGGTACTGTGTTTTGCAAGAGAGGCTTTGAGTGGCAATCATGTTTGGTCTATAGACTACTTTTAGCATGCTTCTCCCACCCTGGGAGGGTCCTCACAACACCCTTCATTTGGTACTCTCTTCTCTATCTGAGCTTCCTTTTCACCTAGAGTCTGTGGCTGGCCTTCCATTCATGGAGCAAAATTCCTGGTACTAATCTCAGCCATTCCTCAGCCATTCCTAATCAAACCCATTCCTAACAGCTACATAGTACTCCATTGTGTAAATGTACCAAAGTTTCTTTAACCAGTCATCTGTTCTTAGGCACTCAGGTTTTTTCCAGATTCTGGCTATTGTAAAGAGTGCTGCAATGAACAAACAATTGCAGATGTCACTTCGACTATACCTTTTTGACTCTCTGGGATATATTCCCAGGAGTGCTATAGCTGGGTCAAATGGCAGATCAAATTCTAATTTTTTGAGAGTCGTCCATACTGTTTTCCAAAAGGGTTGGACCACCCGGCATTCCCACCAGCAGTGAAGGAGGGTCCCTTTCTCGCCACATCCGCGCCAGCACCGGTTGCTTTTGTTTTTGTGGATGTGGGCCAGTCTCTGTGGTGTGAAATGATATCTCATTGTGGTTTTGATCTGCATCTCTCTGATGATTAGTGATGTAGAGCATTTTCTCATGTGCCTTAGGGCAAAATACCTTTAAAGGTGTTTTTCTCCTTTCCTCAGTCCAATAACTCTATCAACATCTTGATACTAGTTACACAGTAAGAGATACACTGAGGCTTGGAGGGCTGCTCTCCTGGGAACAACCTGCCACAGATTCAGACTACAGCGCTCAGGCCAGATTAATCTTTCCTAACCATAGCTGGGTTTGAATCTAGTTATTACTTTTTGGATCATGACAGCATTTGTCCATGACCAAGCTCTTAGCTTATAGTGAAGCATTAGGCACTTGGGCCAGGCCCATCTCCATGCCAGAGTAGCATATAGCTTACTGCTTGCCCTGGTTCTATCCAGTCCCTCGTCGGGTCTCTGCCTTTGGGGGTGATAGGAAGTAAGGGCAGCTGAGGCTTAGATCTAGAGAACAGATGCCAGGAGGAAAATATCACTGAGAGTCAGGTTACAAAAGCATAGCACAAACTGTCTTCTTGTGTCCATACAAAAAGGACATTGTTCTGAATAAACTATACTAAGGACTTAGGGAGAAGAGTAAAACAGTATCTCCAAGTCAACTGAACACAAGAAAGAAGTTACAAATAAACACAGGGGAATTGGAGCACTGTGATGGGAGCAACCCAATAAATGCAAACTACCTCAGGCTATGCAGGAAGGACAAAACAATGTTATTCTACACCAGAGAATTTCTGTTTGAGTGCTGAACATTTCCATCCTTGATGAGGAATCTAACCCTGATTAGGTGGGAGAGAAGGCGATTTCCAATATCAGTGACGCTTTTCCTTGTAGTAGCATACTTTGTCATGTGTCTTTGTACTTTCTGCCATAAGAAAGAAGCATCTACTTCTTCACCTTTAAAAGTGAGATAATTTTATGACTTGATTTGACTATAAAACACAGGAGAGGTAAATTAACTATACTAGTGTAAATCTCAAAATACCTTGCGAACTTGCTTGCTTTCTGGAAATTCTGCCAGCTATGTGTGTCTGCTTGAGCTGCTAGTAAGCTTTAAGTCAAGTGATGCAGAGACAAGTTACCTTAGCTGAAGTCTTTCTAGGTCAGAAGTTCCTGCCTGGCTCAGCAATAGAAGAGCTTCCCATGTGAACACAGCCAGATACTGTGAAAATTGGTTCTACAGAATCCTCTGCAGAGTGGTAAATGCACAAAGGAACCTCAAGATGGACTCTACTCTTATAAAATCTCAAAACAAGCAAAATACGACAACAGTTATTTCTAGGTAAAAAAATAAGAGAAATGTTTGAAAATATATAGATAGGACCAGAGAAATATTACAGTAGGTAAGGTGCTGGCCTTGTATGCAACTCTCTTGGGTTTATTGAAGAGCAGCAAGTATGGTTTCCCAAGTCCAGCCAGGAATGATACCTGAGCACATTTCCAGGAGTAAACCTTGAGTATTACCAGGGTTGTCTCCCAACCAGCCCCTCTCCCCAAATACATGGGAATATAAATATATTCAGGATTATTGTGTAGACATTCTGTGCTTGGATTGTGTTTGGAGAAAGGTCTAGGTAATATAAATTAGTGAAATATATCTCTCCTAGACTCAAATAAGAAGAGGTCTGTGCCCTGCCTTGTGGAAATATGTTGAGTCTCACCTTACCCCAGGTGGATGATGGAGAGCCGGATAATCAGTATGAAAGCTTAGCTTTCCAGTTGTGTAAGCCACATTGTTTGCATCAATTTTGTCTTGCACTTGCCAAGTATGTCTGTGAAATATAAGAAACATATGTTTAAACAGGCTGCCACTAAACAGAGGAAATTTGTTAGAATAACTTAATACATGGGAAAAATGGAAAAAATGGAAACTTTTCATTTTATGAAATAATTGCCATAATGACTATGAGTCCGAAAGTCTGACCCTTTTTTTGGTCCAAAGTAACCATTTCAGAATCAGCATCTCATTTGGCTTTTCATTTCCAAAGAGGAGTACATTTATAGCTTAATCTAAACCACAAAGTTCAGAAAGAGGTGTATATACAGTTGTAGATGATTTTTTAATAGCTTGGTGCATTTAAAGAGTAATATAACAAGGTGAAATTTATATAAGAAAAAAACCTTTGAAAAAGAACATTTTAGTGACACTAGGCACAAGTACAAAGTTGGTGACCTCCATCTAGTTTCAAAATTTTTCCATTATTCCAAAATAAACCCCTTAAGTAGTTTTTTTTCCATTCTGGGTTTCTCAGAATCCTGCCAATCTATTACTTCCCAGACCCTAAAGATCTTAGTTTAAAGTACAGTGATTTACTTTTGATATTTGTATTTTTGCTGTCATACCTACAAGTCCATTACCCAATTCATTGTGATGAAAATTTATTCTTAAGTTTTTTTCTGGGTTTCGTAACTTTAGCCCTTTTATTTGCTAAGTGTAAGAACCATTTTTGAGTTAATTTCTGTAGATGGTTCAAGAAGGGGTTTGAATTCCATTATTTTATTCTTTTTTAATTTTTATTAGACACCATGAAGTACAGTTGTAGACTTACAAATTTTTGTGCTTGGGTTTCAATTATACAATGGTCAAATACCCATCCCTCCACCAGTGTCCATTTCCCACCACCACGGATCCCAGTATCCTTCCCACCCCCCATCACCCCCCATCCCACCTTGCCTCTGAGGCAGGAAATACCCTTTTGTTCTCTCTCTCCTATTGGGTGTTGTGGTTTGAAAAAGAGGCAATGGGTGGCAATCATGTTTGGTCTATAGTCTACTTTCAGCATGCTTCTCCTATCCTGAGAGGATCCTCTCAACACCCTTTATTTGGGGGTCCCTTCTCTATCTGAGCTCCCTTTTCCCCTAGCATGTGTGGTTGGCCTCCAAGCTATGGAGTAAAATTCCTGGTACTAATCTCGGCCATTCTTGGGTGTTAGTCTCCTATTTTGTTACTTTAAAACTTCATTATTTTTTGATATTTAATATTTTGAGATATCTTAGTTTTCTCACAGTATTATTATTTATGTTTTGACAAGCAATGGCACTTTACCACACCCACCACCAAAGTGCTAAAAGTCCTACACTTATAAAGCTATTTCACCTTCATCCTCTAAACCTATTTCATTTAATATGATACCCTCTAATTTTATCCAAGTACTAGCAAAAGGTAAGGATTCATCTTTTCTTGTAGTTGAACATATCACATTTTGTATATATACCACAACTTCTTTAGTCAGTCATCTGCCATTAGGCACTTGGGTTGCTTCCATATCTTGGTTATTAGATATAGACTTGCAATAAACATGAGTGTGCATACATGATTTCTAATTAATTTTTAAAAATTTTCTTGGGCCAGATGCCAAGGAGTGCAATTGTTGATCATATGGCAACTTAATTTTTAACTTTTTGAAAAATCTCCACACTGTTATCCACTGAGGTCAAATTGATTTATAATGTTATCAACAGTGATTGAGAGTTATTTTTTCACAAAATCCCCGCAGTACTGGCTGCTTCTAGTCTTTCAGATATTGTCATTCTCTTAGGTATAAGGAGATATCTCATTGTCATTTAGATTCTCATATTACTGATAATCAGTGATAAACACTTTTCATATGCTCATTGGTTTTCTTTGCATATTTTTTGAGGAAGTGTCTATTCCACTTTTCCCCCATTTTTGATGGAATTCCTTTTTCTGTTGTTGTTTTGGTGGTTGTGATTGCTTTACATATCTTGTTGATTAGCCCTTTGTCAGATGTATGGGATTGAACATTCTCTCTCATTCACTTGGCTGTTGATTCTTCTGCATTGCAGAAGCTTTCTATTTTGACCTAGCTTTATTTGCTCATGGTTGCTTTTGCTTTCTTTGTTGGTGGAGTGGAAGGATTAAAGACTCCCCTAAAACCAGTACCTTGAAGGATTCTGCTTATTTTATCCTTACTATTTCATTGGATTAGGGGTAATATCAATGCCTTTAGTTCATTTCAAATTATATTTTGTGCATGATGTGAAACAGGAGTACTGTTTCATATTTTTATATATGGCGAACCAATTTTTCTACCCTCATTTGTTGAAGAGATTTTTCTTCTTCCATTTAATTGACCCAGTTCATTATCCACTTTTACTTTACTTACTTTACATTATCCATAAATTAATTGTGCATATATCTGAGCATCCATTCTGGGTTCTCAATTCTATTACATTAGTCTGAGAATTGGCTTATATTTCAGAATCATATACATATATATGCATATACATACACACATATATATTTATATATACATATATATCACTTGATCACTTGATCACTTGACATCCTGTTACTCATCAATTTGCTCAAGTGGGCACCAGTAACGTGTCCATTCTTCCCTGTTGTGTGCTAGTGTAGCCCAATGGCGTCTGCTCATTCTGGGAACACGAAGAGCCTCAAACCGATCATTCAGGGTCTTAACGGAGAAGTCTGACTATCTTGTAGGTGGGAAGCCACGTGATCTTTTGACATCCTGTGGAATCCAGTCGGTAATGGCTATAGACCAGCAGTCAACTCCAAATCTCATTATGTGTCTAGCCCATCTGATTTTTGACGACTTGGCAAACGAGACAGTGTCCCTGATTCTTGATCACCGACAGAGGTCTGAACTCCGGATTCTTTTTCTCACTTGAGTGAAGTGTGATATTCCAGGCATAGCTCTTTTGTTTCCTCTTTGGGAGACCCGAATAGCGTTCTCAGCATTCTCATCCTGTTTGCTATTTGCATAGGGCCCAGGTCTCTGAGGCATATGTTAATGCAGGAAGAACAATGGAATCAAAGAGATGTGCCTGGAGCCGGAGGTTCTTTATCCTCTTAGCTATTTCTTCAACACTCTTGAAGGTGTTCCAAGCAGATTTCTTCCTCCTGTGCAACTCAGGTGCCAGGTCATTTGTCATGTTGACTTCTCAACCTAGGTACACATAATTGTTGCATTTGGAGTTGTTCATTCCATTGAGAGCAAATGGAATGTCAGGAACGAGATCATTTCTCATAAACATTGTCTTAGTGAGATTCAGCTATAGTCTGACCTTTCCACACTCATGGTCGAAGTCGGCCAGCATTTGTGCCGCTTGGCTAAAGTTTGATGTTATTAGAACAATGTCATCAGCAAAGCAGAGGTGGTGGAGTTGCAGTGAAATGGTATCACCCTGCCGAATCCCTCTCTTGACATGGATGATCACTTCCTTGTAGAATGGTGAGATCCTGATAGTGAATTCGTAATACAGCTCAAGGAGGATCCTGATGTATTGAGTTTGAATGCCCTCTTTGGCTAGGGCCTAGATGATTGCTTCAGTCTCAACAGAATCAAAGCCTTCTTTAAATCAATGAACGTTAGATAGAGCGGCATCTTGAACTACTGAGAAACCTCAATGAGCTTGGTTATCGTGTGGATATGGTGGATCATGCTGAATCCTTTTCAGAATCCCGCTTGGTTGCATGGTTGTTCTTCATCTAGTGTTCTGCCAATCCTATTCAGGATGACTTGAGTGAACAATTTGTAGATAACAGACAACAAGCAGATTGTACAGTGGTACAGTCCTGCTGGTTTTCCATTGGGACGGAACCTTGCATTCAGACAGGGAGCGTGTGAAGAGCCGAGCCAGTGTATTGATAAGTACTGATGGCAGGTTCTTCAGGTATTTAGGTTTGACCTTATCTGGACCATCTGCTGTTCACTTCTTTACTGACAAAATGGTCAGTCGGATTTCAGAAGGGAGAATGTTGGGAATGACATATCCATCCTATGGGATTTGGTATGTGGGCAGGTGGACATGGCTATTGAAGAGATCTGAGTAGAAGTCATGGATAATCTTCTCCATTGCCCTTCTGGAAGATGTGATAGATCCATCAGGATGTCGAAGGGCAGTCATCTTGGTCTTGTAGTTGGCGAAGGAACAGTTGGGAGTTGCAAATGCTTTTCCCAGCTTCTACCACATCTGCCAGCACTGTTGCTCCTCTCTCTCTGAGGTCTTCCTTTATTGCTTCTCTGCACTTCTTTGCAAGCTCAGACATTCGCTTGCAGTTTCCTGAGGCTTGCTCCAAGCCACGTTGGCAAATGAGCTCAAGAGTTTTCGATGACAGGCATCTTTTTGTGGATACCTCTCTCTCGGTGTTCCTCACACAATCATGGAAGTGTTGAACCAGTTGATTGTATTCCTTGTCAATGTTGTCAACAACAGCATCTTCCCATGTTGCTGCAATGGTGCCAAAGAGGTACCAGTTGGTGGTCATTCTGAGAGTTCTCTTCTTAAACTTTGCAATCCTTTCTCCCCGCTCTGTGAAGTAGAATTTTGCACAAAGGAGACGGTGGTATGAACCCGTTTAGAATTTTGGGACAACAGCGACATCAGTCAGGCAAAACTCTCGACTGAATATGATGTGGTCAATTTTATTGTGGAACCATCCACTGGGAGACTCCCATGTCCAATGTTTAGATTCTGCCTTCTGGAACTGTGAGTTACCATGGATGGTCTTGGTCGACATGATGAACTCAGATAGTCTCTCACCCTGTTCGTTCCATTCTAGGCCATGGGTCCTGATGTGAAATTCTTCAGCTGATCTTCTCGGTCCTATCTTGGCATTAAAATCACTGACAATGATCTTGTAGAAGGTGTGGTCTTCTTTATAGAACTTCTCCAGCTCCGTGTAGAACTTCTCAATTTCTTCTTCATCATTATTTGATGCGGTGTGTAGACAATGAAGATAGAAACTGCCAGCATTGAGCCACATCTATTCAAGTGGAATTGT